TTCTTACCATGGCAGTGAGGGGTTTCTTACCATGGCAGTGAGGGGTTTCTTACCATGGCAGTGAGGGGTTTCTTACCATGGCAGTGAGGGGTTTCTTACCATGGCAGTGAGGGGTTTCTTACCATGGCAGTGAGGGGTGTCTTACCATGGCAGTGAGGGGATTCTTACCATGGCAGTGAGGGGATTCTTACCATGGCAGTGAGGGGATTCTTACCATGGCAGTAAGTGGTTTCTTACCATGGCAGTGAGGGGTTTCTTACCATGGCAGCGAGAGAATTCTTACCATGGCAGTGAGGGGATTCTTACCATGGCAGTGAGGGGATTCTTACCATGGCAGTAAGTGGTTTCTTACCATGGCTGTGAGGGGTGTCTTACCATGGCAGTGAGGGGATTCTTACCATGGCAGTAAGGTGTTTCTTACCATTGCAGTGAGGTGTTTCTTACCATTGTAGTAAGGTGTTTCTTACCATTGTAGTAAGGTGTTTCTTACCATTGTAGTAAGGTGTTTCTTACCATTGTAGTAAGGGGTGTCTTACCATTGCAGTAAGGTGTTTCTTACCATTGCAGTGAGGGGTGTCTTACCATGGCAGTGAAAGGATTCTTACCATGGCAGTGAAAGGATTCTTACAAAGGCAGTGAGGGGATTCTTACCATGGCAGTGAGGGGATTCTTACCATGGCAGTGAGGGGTTTCTTACCATGGCAGTAAGTGGTTTCTTACCATGGCAGTAAGGTGTTTCTTACCATGGCAGTGAGAGGATTCTTACCATGGCAGTGAGGGGATTCTTACCATGGCAGTAAGTGGTTTCTTACCATGGCAGTAAGGTGTTTCTTACCATGGCAGTGAGGGGATTCTTACCATGGCAGTGAGGGGTTTCTTACCATGGCAGTGAGGGGATTCTTACCATGGCAGTGAAAGGTTTCTTACCATGGCAGTGAGGGGTTTCTTACCATGGCAGTGAGGGGATTCTTACCATGGCAGTGAGGGGATTCTTACCATGGCAGTGAGGGGTTTCTTACCATGGCAGTGAGGGGTTTCTTACCATGGCAGTGAGGGGTTTCTTACCATGGCAGTGAGGGGTTTCTTACCATGGCAGTGAGGGGTTTCTTACCATGGCAGTGAGGGATTTCTTACCATGGCAGTGAGGGGATTCTTACCATGGCAGTAAGGTGTTTCTTACCATGCAGTGAGGGATTTCTTACCATGGCAGTGAAGGGGTTTCTTACCATGGCAGTGAGGGGTTTCTTACCATGGCAGTGAGGGGATTCTTACCATGGCAGTAAGTGGTTTCTTACCATGGCAGTGAGGGGTTTCTTACCATGGCAGTGAGGGGATTCTTACCATGGCAGTAATTGGTTTCTTACCATGGCAGTGAGGGGTTTCTTACCATGGCAGTGAGGGGTTTCTTACCATGGCAGTGAGGGGTTTCTTACCATGGCAGTGAGGGGTTTCTTACCATGGCAGTGAGGGGTTTCTTACCATGGCAGTGAGGGGTGTCTTACCATGGCAGTGAGGGGATTCTTACCATGGCAGTGAGGGGATTCTTACCATGGCAGTGAGGGGATTCTTACCATGGCAGTAAGTGGTTTCTTACCATGGCAGTGAGGGGTTTCTTACCATGGCAGCGAGAGAATTCTTACCATGGCAGTGAGGGGATTCTTACCATGGCAGTGAGGGGATTCTTACCATGGCAGTAAGTGGTTTCTTACCATGGCTGTGAGGGGTGTCTTACCATGGCAGTGAGGGGATTCTTACCATGGCAGTAAGGTGTTTCTTACCATTGTAGTAAGGTGTTTCTTACCATTGCAGTGAGGTGTTTCTTACCATTGTAGTAAGGTGTTTCTTACCATTGTAGTAAGGTGTTTCTTACCATTGTAGTAAGGGGTGTCTTACCATTGCAGTAAGGTGTTTCTTACCATTGCAGTGAGGTGTTTCTTACCATTGTAGTAAGGGGATTCTTACCATTGTAGTAAAGGGTGAGCTAAAGGATCATGCTTGTCCATCTGCCTCTTGACCTCCAGGTAAGGTGCCTGTAGAGAAACATCCTTCCTTTTAACTCCACTGGCTTAATGGGAACAAAGGCACAGGACACACACAGGGGAGACATAGCAGAGGACCAGGACACACACAGGGGAGACATAGCAGAGGACCAGGACACACACAGGGGAGACATAGCAGAGGACCAGGACACACACAGGGGAGACATAGCAGAGGACCAGGACACACACAGGGGAGACATAGCAGAGGACCAGGACACACACAGGGGAGACATAGCAGAGGACCAGGACACACACAGGGGAGACATAGCAGAGGACCAGGACACACACACAGGGGAGACATAGCAGAGGACCAGGACACACACAGGGGAGACATAGCAGAGGACCAGGACACACACAGGGGAGACATAGCAGAGGACCAGGACACACACAGGGGATACATAGCAGAGGACCAGGACACACACAGGGGAGGACATAGCAGAGGACCAGGACACACACAGGGGATACATAGCAGAGGACCAGGACACACACAGGGGAGACATAGCAGAGGACCAGGACACACAGGGGATACATAGCAGAGGACCAGGACACACACAGGGGAGACATAGCAGAGGACCAGGACACACACACAGGGGAGACATAGCAGAGGACCAGGACACACACAGGGGAGACATAGCAGAGGACCAGGACACACACAGGGGAGACATAGCAGAGGACCAGGACACACACAGGGGATACATAGCAGAGGACCAGGACACACACAGGGGAGACATAGCAGAGGACCAGGACACACACACAGGGGAGACATAGCAGAGGACCAGGACACACACAGGGGAGACATAGCAGAGGCACAGGACACACACAGGGGATACATAGCAGAGGACCAGGACACACACAGGGGAGACATAGCAGAGGCACAGGACACACACAGGGGAGACATAGCAGAGGCACAGGACACACACAGGGGATACATAGCAGAGGACCAGGACACACACAGGGGAAACATAGCAGAGGCACAGGACACACACAGGGGAGACATAGCAGAGGCACAGGACACACACAGGGGAGACATAGCAGAGGCACAGGACACACACAGGGGAGACATAGCAGAGGCACAGGACACACACAGGGGAGACATAGCAGAGGACCAGGACACACACACAGGGGAGACATAGCAGAGGACCAGGACACACACAGGGGAGACATAGCAGAGGCACAGGACACACACAGGGGAGACATAGCAGAGGACCAGGACACACACAGGGGAGACATAGCAGAGGACCAGGACACACACAGGGGAGACATAGCAGAGGCACAGGACACACACAGGGGAGACATAGCAGAGGCACAGGACACACACACAGGGGAGACATAGCAGAGGACCAGGACACACACAGGGGAGACATAGCAGAGGCACAGGACACACACAGGGGAGACATAGCAGAGGACCAGGACACACACAGGGGAGACATAGCAGAGGACGAGAGACGCAATGAGAATCAATCACACGTCCTCTTGTAATGCTGGTGTGTGTCTAACACAAAGTTGACCAATTGGGGACATTTTGTTAGTCCCCACAAGGTCAAATGCTATTTCTAGGGGGTTTAGGGTTAACCTCTACGGGATCGGTGTCCCGTATACGGGACGGTTGAGCTAACGTGCGCTAATGTGATTAGCATGACTGTTGTAAGTAACAGCAAACTTTCTAGGACATAGACATGTCTTACATGGGCAGAAAGCTTAAATTATCGTTAGTCTAACTCTACTGTCCAATTTACAGTAGCTATTACAGTGAAAAAAATACCATGCTATTGTTTGAGGAGAGTGCACAACAACAAAAAACTTAGCACGGCAACTGGTTTGATACATTCACCTCTGAAGGTTAATAATGTACTTACATTCAGTAATCTTGCTATGATTTGTCATCCTAAGGGTCCCAGAGATAAAATGTAGCATAGTTTTGATAAAATCCATTTTTATGTTCAAATGTAGGAACTGGGTTCTACAGTTTGAACCCCTGCTGTCTCTGGCTCCACACCCACCCCGCCCGGCCATCTAGATGTGTGAAAGTTAGTGTATAAGCTAATGATCCATCATGTATGACATTCCTGGGAGTGTGTAAACTTACATTTAGTATTACCATATCATTTTTGTATGTTCTCTATAGTTATGTACTTGAAAATGTTTCAATTGACCAGTTCGGCACATTTGGGCAGACTTGATACAAAATAGTCCAGTATTGCAATGCTTCACTGGATCAATCTGAAACTTTGCACACACTGCTGCCATCTAGTGGCCGAAATCTAAATTGCGTGTACACTTCTATATGATATTATGGCCTTTCTCTTGCATTTCAAAGATGAAAAAAAAACAAAAAAAAACGCATGTTGTTTTGTTTGTATTATTTTTTTCCAGATCTAATGTGTTATATTCTCCTACATTAATTTCACATTTCCACAAACTTCAAAGTGTTTCCTTTCAAATGATATCAAGAATATGCACATCCTTGCTTCAGGTCCTGAGCTACAGGCAGCTAGATTTGGGTATGTCATTTTAGGCAAAAAATTGAAAAAATGGGTCCGATCCTTTAGAGGTTTTAAGGTAGAATTCTTGTTAGGGTTAAGGTTAGGGTTATGGTTAGGGGTTAGGGAAAATAGGATTTGGAATGGGACTGAATTGTGTGTCCCCACAAGGTTAGTTATACAAGCCTGTGTGTGTGTTTTAGATGCTGAACACTGTAGAATAGCGCTATAAGCTGACATTGACAGAAGCTCCATAATGCTATGAAAAAACAACCATCATAGGTGACTTTGGCCTGTAAATGCGAAGGAAGGCTCCATTCCTCCATACTATTTATCTGATAGATGTAAGGCTGTCAAGGGTTAGGGTTGGTTACCTGGGACATTTCTCTGATAGATGTAAGGCTGTCAAGGGTTATGGTTGGTTACCTGGGACATTTCTCTGATAGATGTAAGGCTGTCAAGGGTTATGGTTGGTTACCTG